AATTTATATATATAGGAAATAGAACTTGGGTATGCAAACCGGATTCCAGATTGAATAAGAGTTTGAACAACAGCTCTAAAGTTTGAAATTTTTTCATTAACATTTGTATTATTGAGTGAAACAAAAGTTGAATGTTTAGTATCCTATGTGAATCCCAGATGTCTAAGTTTATTCTGAAGATTTATTTTATTACTAGATATCGTTATCGTATTGGTTTGTATTTGTGCTTTACCTGAAATCAAGAATTCAGTTTTTTCGGCATTTATTTTAATACAATTATTTTTACTGTAAATATTGCATGTTTTTATCAGCTTTTTAAGACCAGAGAGGGTAGAGCTTAAAAGTATGATATCATCCGCATATGCCACCACCAGTGAAGTTACCATATATAGATGTGCCAACAATACCTTGATTTGTAATAGTTTCAAGAAGACTTTCAGTGTAAATATTAAATAGATGAGGTGAAAGAATCAATCCTTGTCTTACTCCTTGCTTTAGAAGAAAGGACTTTGATTTACAACCTTGATATGAGACTGTTGCACTACTATTGTTATATAACGAAGAGATAGTGTTAAGAAATATATTAAGAAAAAATAAAAATTAAAAAATTAGATTTTTTTAAAAAAACTCTTTGTTTATAAAAAGAAAATATACGTATAATATTTTGAACAACGCAAAATAATAGCTCAAGAAGAAGAAGTCCTCCATGTTTTTTATTATTTAAAAGTTTAAGATCTTTATTATCTGTTATTTTAAGATAAATAAATATTATATATTTTTAAAATAAATATTATATATTTTTTAAGATACTATACCCTAAAATAAATATTATATATTTTTTAAGATACTATACCCTAAAATAAATATTATATACTTTTTAAGATACTATACCCTAAAATAAATATTATATATTTTTTAAGATACTATACCCTAAAATAAATATTATATATTTTTCATTATTTGGTGAAATGTTAATAAAAAAAGCTTGTGTCAAATCTTATGTGCGAAAAATATTTGAGCCAGGAGTAGCAAGAGTAAGGCGATGTCAATACGAATAAATTATTCCTGTTGACATCATTATTTCTGAACAATAATACTATATATTTTTTTATTCTTATTCACCTTTCGAAGGACGAAGGGGTCACTTTAATCGAGGAGGCCAATTTATTTATTATCTTATTAATGTTACAACCTTCTCTCAACATTTTAATTGCGAATTAGGAAGGGATTGAACACGAAACTTCTCAATGAAGAATTAAGCCCTCTACCACTGCACCTTTACCGCATTAAATGATTTTGAAAATACCATTTAATATGATAGGAAAATATCAAATATTTTACAATGGAGTATTTTGCTGGTATTATCTATAGCCAGAACAAGGTCAAAAACGTAGATATTAGTTTTAATTTTATAGAAACATCAAGAAGAATAGGGTTTTATAGAAGATCAAAAATAAAAAAAGTATAAAACCTTTTTGAATACTTTGATAATTAAACAAAAAAAAAAATAGTTTGTTTGAAATTTTTTTTTGTTTAAATATGTTCAAGCATGTTGTTCAAGATTACCTCTTGGGTTGAGGTTATACCAAAAATTTACTGGTAAATCGGTAAAATTATTATTGTTTTATCGATTAACCGGTAAAATTATGTCGGTAAGTTTTGGTAAATAATAATTTTTACTATACTAAACAATAAATTAAACAATTCATTTGAAAAGCATAATTATAAAATTAATTTTCTTTTCTTTATTACTTTTGTGAAAAATATTTTGTTGTAATAAGAAGATTTTTTAAAGTTAAGATTAGTTAAGATGTTTTACTCACGGTTGGCTAATCACTCCTAGAAAGTTAAGATTAGTTAAGATGTTTTACTCACGGTTGGCTAATCACTCCTAGAAAGTTAAGATTAGTTAAGATGTTTTACTCACGGTTGGCTAATCACTCCTAGAAAGTTAAGATTAGTTAAAATGTTTTACTCACGGTTGGGCTTTAGACACATGTTTTAGATGTTGATTCTTTAGTTCCTAAGCTCTAACCACTGAGATTTTTTGCTTAACATTCTTATTTGATATAAGTAGGGATGTACCGGAATTCCGGCCGGAATTTGTGTCTTTTTGATCAATTCGCTTCCGGCTGGAATTAGAAAATTTTTTTTATGACATGTGACACAGGCTGTGTAAATAAATCAAAAATTCGTTATCCTACAGAGCAATGAAGAACAATAGGTAAATCTAGGTAAAAAATACAAATGTAGTTCTGTTTGTAGTAATAGTAGTAGTGCAAATACATTTTCAAATATTACATTTGTATTTTTTACCTAGATTTAGCTATAGTTTTTGCTTGCTCTGTAGGATAATGATTTTTTTATTTATTTACGCAGCCTGTGTCACATATCATAAAGATAAGTAAAAAAAAAATCAATTCCGGTCGGAAGCGAATTGATCTAAAAAACATAAATTCCATCCGGAATTCCGGTACATCCCTAGATATAAGCATCAATATATTTTTATTATTTCAAACTTTGAGGTTTGCTATTGTTTTGCTTATTCTTCAAGCAAATGTGGGGTATCTGACCAAAAAATTTAATTAAGATTATTTGATTGTTGTATTTGTTTTGTTTTTATTTTAAACAATCTACTACCCGGTGGGAAATGAGCTAGCGACTAGCTAGCTTTATAGCGATTTTCAAGCGATTTTTTTTTTCTTATTTTATTCTTTACTAATGTCTCTAACATCTTTAAAAATTCGACTTTTAGTATTTAGTCTATTATAATTATGAGAATAATTGAATTTTAAACATTGCGATTTTGTAGCAAAGTGTCGCTAGCTACATATCGTAGCTTTGTAGCTAGCTACAAAATATCTACAAATCTATAGCTGGTTGACATACCAAAATATTTTTGATAGTAATTTTATTACGATATGATGGTAGCTACAATAACCTATGAGCCTTTAGCTTATTAAGCTAGCTGTCCTTGTAGCCAAATCGCTGTCTTTATCTTTTCAAATATCGATAGCCTTTCGCTAACTTAAAAAAGCTAGCGATCCTCGTAGCCAAATTGTTTTCTTTATCGTAACGATAAAGACAACAATTTATTATAGTTGTTATCTTTATCGTAACGATAAAGACAACAATTATAGCTAGCTATTCGCTAGCCGATTTCCCACCGGGTTATTATGAAAAATATATATTTGACATATAACTATGAATTAAAATCAGTTAAATCAGAAGAATGAGTAAAAAAAACATTAATTTTTTTTCATTTTATTTATTAACTTTCAATATTATTGAGTTACCTAATATTTAATAAACATTTTTTCAAAAAAACTTGTTTATTGACTATTTTTAATTCTACAACTAACTCTCAACTATCATACACCATCATTTTCCTAATACCATGCATGTCTCATTTAACCAAAAGAAATGCTCTCAATGTTTCCAGAATTTTCTAGAAATTTTTAGAAAAGTTACTCGTTATTTTTTAGTCAATCCAATACAAAAATCTTTAACACTAAATTTGAACAAATTTATGAACATTGTAAATGTCAGTTTTCTGTTGGGTGTTTTCTTTATAAGAAAAAACACTTTAATAGCTTCATGCTTAAAGGCTTTATTCTTTTTAGAAGCGTTGAGTCTCATTCTGCTCAGATATGGGTCAGATGTAACCAAAAACCTGTAGAAGACATCTATATTACAGTCAACTCTTGTAAATCTTCTTCTGTAATTTTATCTATATTTTTATAAATGCTTGTTTCTTGTCTCTGCTGCTTTTTCCAACAGAGCTTTTATCGGTAAGATTGCATCCTCTATTACTGTAGGTCTGTAAGTGAGGCACAATTGATGACTATGGATACAGTTAAACGTAAAGATCTAGAGGCATTTTTTGTCCATCTAAATGACTTCCAAAATAATATATAATACATTTTTGTATATTCAGGTAATATTTGCGGATATCTCTGCACTTCAGAATCCTTCTACTAGTGTTTTAATTGTTAATTTTTCCCTAATTTGCCTTGGTAACCTCAACAGTCAACATTACTATCTCGTTTCTAAATTTTCCTTTAACTTATGTTTTTTGTTATATAACAATGTCTTTTTCATTTTGCATTTTTACTTGAAATAAAGTTGTAAAAAGTTGGGTTCTGACATAAATAATAGTCAATCCTGACTTTAAAATAAGTTAGAATTAATCCTAAGTTGAAATTTCCGTAATTTTTAATCATTAGAAAGGCTTTGCAAAAATATTAACGCGTGAGAAAAGACGTATTTGTTGTAGCGTTACAGACTTTGCCATGGTTAATACCAATTTATGACAAGTTGTCACTTTGTGAAACCTGACATATATTTTAGTTCCCGTCAAATACTTTATTTCCTCATATGAAAATACTTAAAGTGTGTTGGCGTCATAAACAAACCTGATCCATATATAGCAGGCCAGCAAAAACATGACGAGGAAAACAGATTGCTCTAAATCATCTAACGATTACTTAAGCAAATCAGTTGGAAGGATGTCATTGATGGTTAGAAAAAGTTGGCAATAAAGTCACTGCTGTTATAAAATTTCTTTTCAAATTAAGAAAAAAGATATCTCTATTTATAAATAGTTTCCAATGTTGTCAAAGCTTACAAGTTTTATTGTTGCTACAAAGAATGACGGGGGTTGATGAAGGTTGATTTTTCGCAAATAAAAATTTTTTTAAATAAGCTATTTTATAGAATGCACTTATGACAATATTACTTAAGATACGATTATTTATAGCACTATTATTTATGACATTATTATTTATGGCGCTAATATTTATGGTACTATTATTTATGGTACTATTACTCATGGCACTATTTGACAGCAATTTTTAAAAATATATCAAGAACATAGATCAAAGCAATAAATATAAAAAAATATTTTTAAAAAATGTTTGGAATCACAAAAAGTTTAGTTTTATTTAACTTCTTTAATTCTCAGCAAAGCTATTTATCAATTTGTTTTGTAATACATGTAGGACAATCAAGAATTTAAATTACTCGATCAACACTACCGCAATAGCTTGAGAGCATCAGACCTTTTTAGCACTCCTTACAAAAGAATAACAAGACTGTTTCATGGACTTATGAAAAACTCCAATCACAGACATGTTTCAATGAACAATAATACCGTAAAAGCAATTAGCAACGATAAAACGCTTGAAGGTAAAATAATTATCCAAATGATATTTTTATAAAGTCGCTTTAATAAGAAAATAAAATTGGAAATAATACTTGTAAATAAACAACAAAATATTAATGTTAAATATATATTATTTATTTATGTTTATGATTTTATTAAAGATAAATTTTATAAATTAGCGCATTTGGTAATTGAATCGGACTCCTTTGGACGTATTAGAATTCATAGCTTTAAAACTCCAGTTCATTATCTTTGTATTGGCGACGACGGAAGACCTGTTGGCATAATAAAGGTGATATTCTATGTTAAATAAAGAATGTATTCTATAGGATCTCTTGCATTAATTTTGTTGAAGTTTTATTTTATATTAGTTTTTTTCTCAATTTAGAGTGATTTAGATTCTGGAAAACAAGATATCAATAAATGTATTTTTCAAGAAATATTCAAGGACAAGTACGTGCAATTCAGATCACTGTATTTTTATAAAACCTCAACAAATACAGGATGCTTAGGTTTTAACCGGTATGGAACAGCACGAAGAGTGACTCGTTCAAAATGTTCTCATAAGAGTACTTTTTTTATTGAAAGATTTTCAAGAATAATAATTGACGTGAATAAAAACAAGCACTTGAAAAAACAATTGCTCAATTTTTTGAAACAGACAAACAAACAACATAAATATATATAGATTAATTTAAACAAAAACTTATATATATATATATATATATATATATATATATATATATATATATATATATATATATATATATATATATATATATATATATATATATATATATATATATATATATATATATATATATATATATATATATATATATATATATATATATATATATATATATATATATATATATATTAGCAGATTTGCATATATTTTTCGGTTATTTATATATTAAAAATATTTTTTTAATATTTATGTATATTAAAACTAAATTTCTATTAAATACAGAAACGCAAAAGCAGAGGAGTTCACATCAATGCTATTTAAAAAAGTTTTTTTGATTACCCAAAAATTTTATTTATTATCAAAAATTAGTAAGTTGAAACATTTTTTAAGGTATTATAATGTTTTTTGCATACTAAAGAAATACAAATTATATCAAAGACCATAAAACCATTAAGAAGTTCCCATGTTTGTTCAATAAAAAATATACACATCTGTTTGATTTAAATGCAAAACGAAAAAGCAAATCAAGGCTAAATAACAAATCAAGGCTAAAAGTTTGATTATATTTAAAATTTCTTAATATAAAGATTATATTTCTTAAATGGTAAAAAGTTTAACATTTTAAACAGTTGGTATTTTTTATAAAATATTTTGTTTGTTAAAGCCAATTTTTTTGGTGTTTTTTTACAGGCGACATACCTGAAATAAATGGTATCATTCCAATGGTGTTATTTCATCGAGAACTGAATAAAATACAAAATAATCTTGTGCTGAGTAAGCATAAAGTTTACTATTTGGATGATGGGATTATCAAAATGTAATAACAATTTCATCATAAACTATGTTAACAATTGTTAAACGTGTTTTGCTTTAAAACAAAAAACAAACATGTTTTATAAATTGTTCTAAATAGGTAAGACATTTGAAGATTATTTATCTAATAAAAATTTATTTCATTTCCAATATAATAAGTAGAGATGCAGTGGTAAAAACTTTTATAACAAATTATTTGAACATAGTAATTTTCCTGGGCTTTTCAAAATCAGCAAAAACCATGTTTTTGATGATTTTGAAAAGTTTTAATAAATGGACTTTTCGAAATGACATGTTTAATTAGAAGTTAGGACTTGAAGCAATATACCAACTATTATGGTATATTAATCTTAAAGAATAATTATAACAAAAATACTTCTATCATATTTTATGCTACCTGAATGTTAAGTTATGTATACTTTTACATTTTTTTGTGTTTTAATGTTTGAAAAATATACAATGGTTTCTAAACGGTATACTCCTAGTTAGAAAAATTTGATAACTGCTATTTCTCATTGAAAATGTATTAAATATGTAGGGATATAATATTTCACTTGAAATACTCACAAACTCACAATTTACTTTCATAAAACTAACTACATGATCTCGACAAATTTGCAACTTCCGTGCTTGACTCCGCGCGTGAACATAGATAAACTGTATTTGAACAATTGCTGTGACTCTATGATAGATTGTGCAATCCAGTAATTTTCTGGAAATCTCTACTTATATCATCATCATCATGTTATATAATGCTCCACTTAGTGCTCATTTGTGTGTATTTGAACAAACTCACAGCAGCCATTACACTCGAGTTAATGTCGAGAAAGAGTTGCAGAACTACTTTTATAAGAAAATGTGAAGCAAAGTCTATGCAAATATCTTCTTTTTATTGTTAAAGTTCACGGTGTTTTTCACAGAACACCTCGGAAGAGCATTTAACTAGAATATTCACGCTTTCTTCCTTACCAATATCGCTAATTGGGCTAGAGTCGGCGTCGAACCTTGGGCCTCTTGGTTCTGAGCCAAATATATAACCACTGTGTCGCGACTGCATCTAATATCTTATATCAATATATGACATCTGACTGAAGTAAATTTCAAGTTATGTAATGTTAATGATTATATCAAGTTTTACAGATTTACTTTTACTTAAAAACTGCATTGTGGCAATATCTCCTTAATTTTGATTTGTAGCATTTATTTGTCGTTTTATAAAGTTATATACCGTCTTTTATTTATTAAATAATGTTAATGAGGCATGAACTTATATACCGTGAATATATATAATTATAGGCGTAAAGTATATATAATTATAAATATATATAACTATAAGCGTGAAGCTATATACCGTCTTTTATTTATTAAATAATGGAAGAAGGCGTAAACTTCCTGGTTAAATGCACTTCCGCGGTGCTCTGTGACAAGACCTTTAGGTCTTTTTGGGGCACCTAAATAACAACAAACAAACAAAAAATAAAAAATGACAATAATTGGGTCTAATTTGCTCTAGTGGCCGAGGTGGTTAACTCGTTGCGCTTCTAACGTGGGTTGCGGGGTTCAAATCCTTTCGCTTGCGCATTTTCTTTTAAAAAACCTCTTCTAATTTTCCAAAATACAATATAAAACATTTTATAAAGTTCTATAGTCTATAGTTTTATAGTTCTATAGCCTATAGTATAGATTATATATATATATATATATATATATATATATATATATATATATATATATATATATATATATATATATATATATATGTATATATATATATATATATATATATATATATATATATATATATATATATATATATATATATAATTTATAAAGATATTTTTAACTATAACAAACGAAAGGGAGAGAATTTTTATAAAATCTTAAAATTTCTAAAAACATAAAATCGTCGGGAGAAATTTGTTGCAGGTTTTATTATATTGTATTATTATATTATATTTATTATCATATTGTTCATGAGCATGAAAAGAGACAATTTTCTTTTTTATAGGAAAAAAGGTTTTCCATTTAAACTTTTATTTTTCAAAATTGTTTAACGGGATGAGGGTCCTAATAAACTGCGGATTGTCCGAAGCAAATTTAATAAAAACCTAATAGAATATTATTAAAGAAAAAAATTAATAGTTCCAGTTCCAGTTTTTTTTTTATAGAAGTTTACAATTTTAAAATAAGAAGTTATTGAAAAATTATGAAACAAAACATCTATATAAGAATAAGTATAGAAATTTATTACCATTACACTTATTATACGGGCCACGGTAAGGAATTGTCCATTATGTGGACTTATCAAGAGTCGTTTTTTATGGGTCCGGACAGTTAGTATTACAACAATAATTAAACTTCCTTTGAAATCATTACTTGTGGCGTTCCTCAGGCTTTTTATATGTATTAATGACGTATTTTTTATTTTTTAGTATTGGAAGATACTTTACTGCAGTAAACTGCACCTCTGGCTTTTTATATTTTATATTTTTAAATCTATCTTTCGGTAAACTGAACCTCTTTCTTTTTGCAGATGACACCAAAGCTTTTTATACTCACTTAAATATTAATATTATTTTTAACAAAGTGAATCAGTTTGAAAGTGAAAGAGTTAAGCTATTGGTTAAATTCCAAAAAACTTTCCTTAAACATTGAAAAAAGTAAATACATTCTTTTCACAAAACCAAGTCAGACACATTACCGTTACTACCTCTAAATGTATTAGCTATCAAAACTAAATTCAAAAAAAGCATTTTTTATGAAGTTTTTAGGATTAATACTACGTGAGCATATTAGCTGATTTATTTATCAAATTAAATATTAAATATATCAATATTAAATTTATCAAATTCAATATATTCTCTTTTTTTGTTTTTGTTGTTGTTATTTATTACATTTTAAAATATCACGTTAATAATTCATAAATATTACAAGCTAAAATAAAATCATATAAACTAGTGAAGATATTTAATATATATATATATATATATATATATATATATATATATATATATATATATATATATATATATATATATATATATATATATATATATATATATATATATATATATATATATATAAAGAACGTGGAAACTCGTAGAAGAACCTATGATATTGTCGTCGAGTACCGCTGTAAAAAGACGTTGTTGCATTTTTACAAGTTAACTATTTTACGTAATAAATAAAAAAGTAAGTGTTTTGCAATAATAAAAGAAACAAGATTTAAATAAAAAATTACAAAAAATAAAAAGTTCATCAAAAATTTCTTAAAGATAGTTTGACAGATAATATTATAGCAATATAGGCTTGCAGATCGTAAATAGTTGAGTTACAAATCATATCAATAAAAAATCATACATTACAAATCATATAAACCGATATAAATAATAGATAAAAAGAATATCAAAAAGTTTTAAAATTGCATTTGTATATTATCAATTTTAAAAACTACTTCTTTCAAATTTTTTTTTAAAAGATATCTAATTCCATTAAAAAAAAAAATCAAAGTTGTTTAAGACTATTTTGTTCCAAAGATACGGTCCACGAAATGATATGCAAAATTTGTAATGATTAGTTTTCAAAAATGGTTGCATCTAAAAAATATGCAAAAAAAAAAAAAAAAAAAGGTTAGAAAAAAGAGTCCATTAAAAACCCAATGCAATTAAAGCTCTATTATGCTTTTGCAATTACTTGGTAAAACAATCTGTCGAGTTCTTTTTCCAAAAGTCACTCATAAAGCAGGTCTCATGGACCTAACTGCTTAAAGTAAAAAACTTGAGATTGGTGCACCCTAGATTTAAGTTAGAAGACAACTGATAACAGTAATCTGGAAAGCATCCATCTAATCTGGAAAGTATCTATCTAATTTGGAAAGTATCTATCTAAAGAGCCGTAAAGTTATTTAATTTTTAGTGCAAAATGCTGTAGCAAAGTTCCTGGTCAGAAATTATCCTGGACTGCCTAACTTGAAAACTCTTTCAAGTTAATTAACTAAATTTTATTTGTTAAGTTCAATTGTAACGTTTATTTAAACTTTACAATTAAGATTTTAACAATAAAAAATTTAACATTAAAATGTTAATTTAAATAAATGATTTGGATTTTTTCGGGTTCAAGGATAAGACAGAAAACTAGCCAAAAAACAAGTCGTTTTAGAGTACAAACGGACATTTTTTTGTATTTATTTCTATGATTGTTGTTTCAGCACACACCCATTTAATCTGATCTAATTGCTTCCATTACTCTAAAACAATTAAAATTGCCAACTTTTTTTACTAATTGTGGGAGAATTATTGCAATAACAGAACTTATTAAAGCGAGTTCAATTGAGGGGAGTTCCCTTCCATCCTAAGTAGGCAAAGCCAGAGTTTGAACCTAAAATTCTGCTCCAACAAACTTTTTGGTAACTTTTGATTTATTACACAGCACTATTCAACTGTTCTATCCAAGCTCATAAAAAGGTTATCAATGTGTATATCTAAGGTACCAATCCTCTATATCTATATCTTACATCAATGCTCCATACTGTTTAAATAGTTAGAAAGTTGGCCGTCTAAAATTTTTGGATCCTTATAATTATTTTTTCCTTCTCCTAAATATTTTTTTTATTTACTTGCATTTTCTTTTTTTATAATCTTTAGTTTCTTCACAGCCTTGGTTTTATTTTAAAAAAAAAAAATCAAAAGCCACCATCTTGATCATATCTTCCATGAGACAAGGCCTCAGAAATCAAATATCTTTTTTAACATATCACTCTTTAATAAATTAAGGCAAATGAGTTGGGGTTAAGATTTTGTTACGTTTTAAAAAGGTTCCTTAATCCTACTTACAGTATTTGCTGATTTTTACTATATGCATACATGCTGTACAATAATTTTGCGATTGCGTTTTTTTATGAAAAAATGTCATATACCGTAAACGGGGGTGAATATGAACAGCGGGGTGAAAATGAACACTAGTACTAGCTTAACTTAATGGTGAAGCAGCACATAAAATATAGCTAAAAATTGAAATTTTTTGACTCACTTGCCTTAAATATAATGTGTGGAAGATAATTTTCGGCTGCCCTCAAAATTTTCTTTTCCCGCCTTTTCTCTATCGCATATAAACAGTACAAGCTACGTGGTTCGTGTTATTAACCCACCTATCAAGGAGTATCTTAAGAACCGCTCATCTAAACGTCATCAAAGTTAGCTCAATTTAGGTTCAGGTAAATAATGTTCTAATAAAACAATAATTTAATGTATAACTTGTCTGTATCCGATTATAAGCTCATTTGAAAATGACATTTTTTTAACACGATTTTTTATTATATTTTGTTAATTTTTAGAACTATGCCTCAAAATTACAAGAGAAAGGAAAACAGTAGAGCTTATAAAACAAGTTATACAAAAAAAGACTTAGAAATAGCTTTAAGTAAAATCAAAAACCAAGGATTTAGCTTCAGGAAAGCTTCAAAAAAGTACAATATTCCATTAGGAACATTACACAAAAAAGTTAAGCTTGGGGATCAAGTTCCGAAAAAAAAACGGCGGACAAACCAGACTTGATAGTATAACAGAAAATTTATTTGTCCAAACAATTGTACATATGACTGATTGGAGGGTACCATTTGATTCTTTGGATATAAGACTTTTAGTCAAATCATATTGTGATAAAAGGAGTATAACTGACGCTCGATTCAAAAACAATATGCCTGGGGTAGATTGGGTTCAGTCTTTCATGAAGAGACATAACTTAACAAACAGGGTTGCTGATAATGTTAAGCACAGTAGAGCCATGGTCAATGAAGATACCCTTAACAAATATTTTGATAATTTGTATAAAGAGTTGAAGGATATACCTCCAGAAAATATCTATAACTATGATGAGACCAATATAACAGACAGTCCAGGGTCCAAATCCGTTATTGTTCGTCGTGGCCTTGGGCACCGTGTCGAAAAAAAACAAGAACATTCGAAGCAGTCGACCAGTTTAATGTTTTCTGGCAATGCTGTTGGAAAGTTTTTGCCGCCCATGGTAGTTTACAAAGCAAAGAACCTTTACCAGGGTTGGACTCAAGGTGGACCACCTGGAACTGTTTACGACATCACCCCTAACGGGTGGTTTGATGGTAGGACGTTTACCAGATGGTTTATGGAAATATATTTGCCTGTTGCTATTCCAAAAGCCGGAACAACACTATTGATTGGAGATAATCTTGGTTCACATTTTTCTCCTGAAGTTATTAAAGCCACGATTCAACATAACATCAAGTTTATAGCAATGCCCCCAAATGCGACTCATCTCTGCCAACCATTAGATGTTGCTGTTTTTAGAGGATTAAAGCAGTCGTGGAGGAGTATTCTTTTGAAGTGGAGATCAGAAAGTCGTATCAAAGGAGCTATCCCAAAAGAACATTTACCTACGCTTTTAAATAAACTAAATAATACTTTGCGACCAGTAGCTTTGGTTAGCGGATTTAAAGCAACGGGAATCTACCCTATGGACAGAACAGAGGTTATAAAACGTCTTCCAGGAAAATATAAAGACCCTGGTGGTAATGACACCGTTATGGTTCTTAACGAATCTGTTTTAGATATTCTAAAAAACAATCTAGGGTTAGGCACAAACCCAACTACAAAACGCAAACCTCGTGGTCCAAAGGTGGTACCAGGTAAAAGAATTCATTCTTTAGTTGAGTCAATTCCATCAAGTTCAACAGAGCTAAAAAGCAACACAGATAATGATTGGTACTGTACTTTCTGTAACAAAAAATGGGTAGATTTAAGCGACGACGTGCGGATTCAATGCGACAAATGCAGTAAACCATATCACCTCCAGTGTTGTGGCCTCATTTATGATAAAGATGATTATTATGAGCTCAATATTGAAAATATCTTATACTTTGTATGCAGCATTTGTGAGTCATTTGAAGAATTTGAGGATAGTGATATTTAATGTTCTGTTTTTATGTGGAACAGATTTGTAAATATTGTGATACATGTTAATATATTGAAAAAACTTGTTTTTAAACATAGTATGCTAATTTTTCACATAAACTTAGTTTAAATAAAAATATATTCCATGTAAAATAAACTTCATGTTATCTGTTTTGATCTTTAACAGTTTTTTCCCCCTTTGTAATAAGGTAATATAGCGATATACTAGAATATAGAAATAATATGTAGTGTTCAAAGTCACCCCAAATTGGCCGTTCATTTTCACCCCGTTTCGGAAATACGTATATGCTTGTATAAAACCAGAAAACTAAGGTATTTACTGCATAGTGTTGATCAGGCTTACGACTAATACAGGAAGCTGAGTAGTATAATGTTCTGTTACAGAAAAAATGGTTGCGATTAGGCCAACAGTTTTCTTTCATGATGCAAAAATGTTCAAAAAGCGTTCATATTCACCCCCGTTTACGGTATGTATATGCTCATAAAATCATTCAAACCATCCTATTGCTCTGCGTTGATAGCGGAGAGAATAAGAAATTATAGTTGGCTTCAAAATGGACATGCGCAAAAAAGCGTAAAACGTAAACAGCACATTATTACTATTAATTATCAAGGTAAATAGCGCGAATGTTTCAAAACTTAAACTTTAATTCATTAATCCTTACTTTATATTCCTTATTTTGAAGTCCTCTTACACAAGGCAGGCCTATGCAAAATAATATATATTCTTTTTACATTTCAAATGTATCTAAATTTTTACCGATGTATTTAAATATATATCTGAATTATAGCAATTTAAAACCTGTACATTATATCAATTCCCCCTTTATTTTCATAGCTTAATTTGATTAAAGATGTTCATGCAAAGATAAGCTTAATAATTTTTACTAAAGTTTTAAAATTAGTCATAAATTAATTAAATAAATTATAAAATAAGAACAGACACGTGTATATTCTTATGCATGTGTGTAAGTATATGCATATCTTGTTTGTTGGTGTGTCTGCATGTAGTATGTATGTTTTTCTTTAATATCTAAGCGTGTTCTCAGTTAATATATATTTTTAAACCATAAATTCATTGTATACAACATATTACAACGTATTTCTAAAGTATTTAAGTGAACAAATAGATATATTATACATACAACATATTTCTAAAGTATTTTTAGTTAACAAAAAGAAAAAACAAATAATGAAACCAAAACTTTTTACTTATATAAGAATATTTGTTAGCAAATAAACAAATAAAAAAAAACTTTTTACAAACAAATCTAAAAACATTAAAAAGATTAGTGAAAAGTTTTGTTTTTTTATTTGCTTACTTTTCACTTTTTTTTTTTTTTTTGCATTGTTTAAAAAATTTTTTTCTTGTTTGTTTCCTTTTTGTTTTTGTCCTTGTTTTTTTTTTTGTCCTTATTTTTTTTTAAAGTAAGTGTTGAACTTTTTTGAGAATAAGAATTTTTTTTTTAATTTGCTTTAGAAATATAAAAATTGATGGACCCACTTTCAACATTATGTGTAAGTCATTTGACTCGTTTGCTTGAAATGAGTAATTTGGAAAATCTAAAGCTACTTGGGGATAGTTGTTATGTTTCACAAAATCTTGAGTTAGAAGAAAATGACTATATTAATCAACAAACTCAGCATAATTTATATAAGCAAAATATAAAGAAAATTTTTGACTTTACTTCCACAAAAGGTAAAATTTGCTTTGACTAAACTAATAGCTAATTAATTAAAAATTAACTGTTATTTATTAATTAAGGGTATGTTTAATAATAATTAGGAATAAAATTTTATTTTTATTTTTAGCATTACATAAAACTTTTTGTCAATTTTTTTTAGGAGTCATTATAAATGTAGTAGTCATTATGAATTTAAGATATTTTAAAATTGTGATTACAAATCATTGATATGACTATATTTGATATGACTCTTGCTAATATGATTGAAGAAATTATATTATTTTAAATAGAAATTACTATTAGAAAGTGTTAAATACTATTAGAAAGTGTGAAAAAGATCACCCTTTGAACTGAACATTGTTTTTTAATATAATTCTATTGTTAGATAGTCTATCATTTATATGACAACATGAATGGTTTAAATAAATAATATTAATTAAATGTATTAACTGTTAACCAGAGATTTGCCAGGATCCAAGCGTAATCTGTGTGACTGAGCACAAGTTTTGCTGCTAATGAGTTTGTAACAACTTTTATATTTTGATATTTTTATATTTTTTATTGTTAAATTTAAGTATTATCTAATTTAAGTAATTAGTAATATTAGTAATAATTTTATTATTGATGCTTGTTGAAAAGCTAATTTTGATATTGAAAAGCTAATTTAGATATTCAAACAACAGGGAGGAATATGTAATTTATTATTTTATTTTAATTTTATTTTTTTACTATTTTTTAATTTATTTTATTATCTTTTAATTAGTCTGTTAATCATTATCTTGCTATATAAATTTCATCTTTTTTTTTTTCAGTAACTTCCAACTCTATAGTGGTTGCTTGCAGCCTTGTTGGAAGTAAAGATGTTGAAAAAAAAAATTATTATTAACTATCTTTTTTTTGTAGGTAATCAAATTATAATTTGACTCAAATTCAAGTTAAAAATAAAGCCAAAACTGTAATATTGTGCCTTTATATAAGTAAAATTAATTTTTAAAATAAAATTAAATTGTTTTTTAAACCAATTTTCAAATCTATGTAACTTGGATCAGTTCATATAGATTTAAAAATTAAAAATCCTAAGGATCCATCTTTACAACTTAATACTTTAAACATTGATCATAAAAGAATGAAAATACATTATTATAAAAAAATTGAGTTGATATCTTTCTAAATTAAGCATAAATTAAGAATTTAGATTTAATAATTGCTGTTTGATTCAACAGTAATCATTAAATTTAAATAAAGAATTAAGTAAAAGGCCTCTCGCTCCCATGATTCCAGCTCCTCAGCCTTGAATGTAATTCAACATTTATTGTCATAATTTTAAATTTTATTTTCATTAATAATGATTGCACTATTGCTTTTCCTACATATGTTGTTAAAGGAAAAATGATGAACATATTTTTTCAATATCTCATTTATACTTCTTTTTTTAGTGTAAATCAGTTAATGAAAATGTTTTCAATTAAAATAAAGATCTTTTAAACTAAGATTAAACATCAAGCAACTTTCAACATCAGACTTCTAGAGAATAAGCAGCCATTTCCTCTTCATGCTGTTTTATCAAAGAATGAGTTGCCTATAATCAATCAAGTTGTCCAATATTTTGTACAAATCAAAAAAAAAATCAATTGCACAGAATATAACAGCTATTAATAAATCTAGTATTGGAATATGGAAAAAAGAAACCATTCCTCCATTAATCCTAAAACAGTTGAATACCAGCTCACTGTCATAGTATGCAAAGTGGCTAGTTTTTATCAATCAAAAGCAAGCACAGTTTAGCAGTAAAAAAATTTTTTTTTTAATGTACATTAGTGGAGTCAATGTTACCAGTAAAGTTAGAAAGTTTAATAAAAGGAAAGTTGCTTCAAATAGTAGACAAATTGCTGAAAAACAGAGACAAGTTGTTATAACAAAAGCAGACAATTCAAACAAATTCATAAAATAATCATGCGATCATGAAACTGAGAATGATGGTTAAATATAATAATGAATTAAAAAAAGACTCAAGTTTTTAAGAAGTTTGATGAGGCAGGTATCAGATTCAGACAGTTCAAGTTCAGAAACTAGCAAACAGATGAGAGTATTCTTAGCAAATCTAGCAAGAATGAATGATATATTAACCAGGGTGAAAAAATGAATGATATATTAACCACCCAGAGTGACGAATCTTACAAATCTTAATAAGATTTCTTATTAAGAATTAGTAAGATTAGTAAGGCTTGCACGACGTGAAAGAAAACTAATAAGATCTTATTAAGATTTGTAAGTTTAGGTACGATTTCTTAGTAAGATTTGTTAGAAATGTAAGATCTTAATAAGATTTGTAAATTATATCATAATTTCTTAGTAAGATTTGTAAGATCTTATAAGATTATTTTGTAATTACTCCGACCCTACTAAATTCCACTCATATTTTTGCGTAGAGGTAGAATGTTATATCTCGAAAATATGAGTGGAATTTAGTAGGGTTGGAATAACTACAAAATAATTTTATAAGATCATTTGAGGGTATGGTCATTTAAGATGGTATGGGCAGTCTTGCATAAGTTATTTGCTGTGTTATATATTAGATGTATAACATATAATGTTAAGATGAACACTATTGTTTTATTAGTTAACAAATTTTTTTGAGAAGAATTTATATGAAGTACTTAATTGTTTTAAATTAAAGTTCTCGAAAAAAACTTATAATTAAAAATATAATAGTGCTCATCTTAACAGTATATGTAATACATATAATATATTATAAAATAAATTACTTATGCAAGACTTCCATACTGCAACACTAATTGAAAATTATAAAAAAATAAAGTATTACAGATTAGATAGAATAATGCTCATAAAAATGTGATAGACTAAATTTTTTTTTTATTATTTACAAATTAAATACAAATACAAGTCAATTTAGATTACATTGATGTTCAGCAAGTGATAAAACTATACAATATAAAACTTTTTTTTTTTTTTTTTTTCAACATCTTCACTTCCAACAAGGCTGTAAGCAACCACTAATTAGTGTTAGAAGTTACTGGAAGAGAAAAGATGAAGATTGTAGAGCAAGATAACAATTGACAGACGACTTAATAAATTTCAAATTATATGAATCAGGAAAGCAAGATGAAGGAAGCAAATTCCTGAAGAGCTCATGTTCGAGGAAAAAAACTAGACAAATAAGAGTTTTTAGAGCACTTAGGAACAGTAACAGAAAAATATGAGACTTAATTAAGTGACAAGTAACACGAGAGTGAATTTAGTAGCAGTGCCCGTTTTAGTATTTGTAGAAAAGAGAAAGAGAAGCAAAATTACAACGATGTGATAATGGTTGAAGGTTGGCTGCAAGAGCAGGTCCAACTACGTTTACAATGCATTTTTGCACCTTGTCTAAAAGAGAAAGGGCATCATTAGAAGATCTGCCCCAGATATGGCAACAGTATTCCATACAAGGTTAGATTTGAGATTTATAGAGATTGAGAATAGAATCCAGAGAAAGAAAGTGCCGAGCTTTATCGAGCAAATGCTGATTTTGCAATGGATTTAATATATGGTTTCCAAGAAAGATCAAAAGTAAGAGTTAATCCTAGAAGATGAAGAGTAGATAACCCATCAAGTACATTACCGTTCATAAATATAGGAAGACCTAAATTATTGCGATAATGATTGGCTGAAAAAAATTGTTTTATGTAAATTAAAGTTCACCAGCCACTGTGAACCCTATGCAGTAGCAGAAATGAGATTTTTTTCAAGCTCAAATGCGCCCTCCAAGCAATCAGAGAGAGTTGGCTTCTTATCATGGTAAGAATAAATGGTAGTATCATCAGCGAACAATGCCACCTTAGATGTGAGAATATCTGGAAGATCATTAATGTAAATTAAAAAGAGTATAGGACCAAGGATTGAACCTTGAGAAACCTCTGAGGTTATAGAATAAGAAGAAGAGTGCTGTCCATCAAGGACAACTTTTATACTACGGGTGAAAAGGAAGGATTCAATAATCTTAAGGATGTTTGCGCACAGTTCAACTGTTTAAATATTTCCATTTTTATATCAAGTTCTATCTGATTGATCTTGTTTACAGCTGTGTCAACAAAGTATTTTACAAAGGTTTAATTAATTTTTCACAGTATTGTTTGGGGTCTCTTTCTTTAACACTTTCACTAGAATAATTTTTGATATCATTGTGTGTTTATATTGTATGTACGTTTATAAGCATGTTGAAATTTAGCAATAATAAAATATAAAAACAACATAAATTCCGTATAAAAGTTGTCTATACTTTACTATGAACAGATTAGCAGTTAATTTACGCCAAAAAGTTGTATAGAATTCAAATTTTCAAGTCGAAAAAAGTAAAGTGATTACGATAAATCTTTATGTAACTTTACATTATGTTGTTGTTTGAACAATTTCAAACACAGGTTTTTAGCATTTTTAATATCAATTCTTAACAACTTATTACAAAATATTCACTTCTTTGTGTCATCTCTTAACTCTTTTATAACCACTTCTTCATGTTTTAAAAACCACTTCTTGATACGATAATACACGTGATACAATCTTTCTTAACACTTTTATAACCAGCTAACCTCGCCACTTTCTGGCATAACCTAACTGAACAACAGCCTATTTCAAATCAATTTTTATTTCCAAAAATAAATAGAAACTATGCCCTAATAATGCATGACATAAATTTTAGTACATATTTCTTCACTAGAATAAAAATTATATTACCCTTTTTAGGTGAGACTATAAAACCTGGGCACATTGAACAATATGCCAAGTTCCCAGAAAAGAAGATGTTTTGGGGTTCTTTCTTTGTTGTTAGACCAGGAGCACTCTATACAGTTACTGGCATGGTGAACTCTGACACTTACATTGAGGTTCTGCAACACTTTAATTCCAGGGATGTTAAAAGTGTTTCCAAATGGAAATGGAATATTGTAGCAGGATTTTAGCCACATGCCATACATCCAAAAAAAGTCAATAAATTAATGTTAAAAAATAAACTTTTTTTTTTTTTTTTTTTAAATTTTACTTCACCTCCTCAAGGCCGAGAAGGCCAGGACAGACGAGGAGGCTACTTATTTTGTGGCTATAACCCTCTCTCAACTCTATAACTCCGAAACACGAACCTTGACGAATAAGGCCGCTGCGCGGAGAAACGAGTTGAGCGCGGTACTACCATGGACGTGGTGGAGATCAAACTCGGAACCACTCGTTTATGAAGCGAGCGCTCTTAACTTAAATGGCCTGGCATTTTTTCAGATCTCAATCCAATGTAGAATCAATTAGCAATTGTAAAATATAAATGGGCAATTGTAAAATATCAATGGGCAATTTTAAAATATCAATGGACAATTGTAAAATACCAATGGGCAATTGTATAATATCAATGGGCAATTGTAAAATATCAATGGGCAATTGTAAAATATCAATGAACAGTTGTAAGAAAAAGATTTCGAAAACATGACTGCTTAACTAAAACTAAGCTCACTCTTCAGATTTGATTTGAAGAGCCAGAAATCTAAAACATTTGTAAAAATTTGGTAGATGCCAAATGGTGTGCAGAAAGTCCTAACAGTACTAAGAGGACCCACACAATAACAGTGTATTATTACATTGGAAAGAAGTTCCTGGCATCCGTAAATTGTCACGCTTTGGGAGGGGGGGTTGTGATGACTCATACTGAAATTGTTACTATATAGTTACAATGTTGTGACAAGGGGGGTCTAAAGTGGTCAAAACCAGGGTTGCCACGTTTTTTTTCGGGCACAAGCCAAAAATGAAACAAAAATAAACCAGAAATAAACCAGACCCAAAAAAAAAAAAAAAAATTTCATAACTTTTTGTTATAAAGCCTTGCTTATAATTTATATTTTGAAAAAAAATGCTTTTTTATCCAAAATTCTTCCTTGAAGAAAATTTAATTTGTAAGAGAGTGAAGGAGGAGGAGAAGAATAACTTAGTGAATGTTTAATGGGGCGCCAGTTCAGCCTTCAAAGCAGCGTGGGGAAAGTAGCTCACTCCCAAACACCTATACAAAATCTGACGCTATCAACCTGTAAAATATATTCATTTTTTTCGCTTGCATATGGATATAGATTTCTTTTCCAGTCTTTACGATAATTGAATCAATTATTTCAAAGTCCTGGTAAAAAATCTTTTGCCTTATTAGATATGATTTGATCCAAATGACTGCATGCAAAGCTTGGTTTGATATTTTCTGATTTTGTCTGATTTTTGTCTGCTTTTTATGCAGATGAACTGTGGAAGACTCAACAAAATAGTTAGAAACAGATCACATAGATAGCCATGGCAGTAAGCATCTATATTGCAGCAGTCTAATTCTCCGGAAACTTCTAAATGGTCTCACGAAGCAGTTTAAAATTCAGCGGTGTTCTCAGAAACTCATTTTTTTAAAAAGTATTTAGACTCGCTCTAATGATGCAATGTCAATAAATTTATGATTAATGACGATTTCTGTAATGATTTTCAATTTCTTCACTTTTTGCATCCATAAGATATAACAGTAGATTTGAAATGGCCTTTTCAACTGGGGAAACAACATTCATTACAGGCAGATTTTTCTCAAAAAATATCATTTTGAATGTAAGAATTTTTTAATATTTTTGGCAATTAAGAGATAAAAACAACATTTTAATTACATTACAAGTACAAGTTTTTACTGTTTTAAGATTTTAATGTAAGCATTTCTTTCATTTGTTTTAAACTTGATTGTTCTTCTATAAAATAAAAAAATGAAAATCTTTCTTTCCCTCAAATTAAATTTTTTCATGAAACAAAAACTTAATTAAATTGATTTATTATTAAATAAACCAGAATTAAACCAGATTTTAAAAAACATACCAGAGAAAACAAAAAAAGACTTTAAAAGAAACCAGATTTAAACCGGATTTTCTAAAATAAACCAAAATAAAAGCTCCAAGCCAAACGATAAAAAAACAAACCAGATTTGAGAAATCTGGCTTTAAAAAACACCAGATGGCAACCCTGGTCAAAACTTGTGTGCCGTAATTTGTGGACGACCCCTAATGCATCAGCCTTTGCTGCAGAAAATGAGTGCTAGAACAGAGAAATGCTCTCCTTAAACATTTCAACTCGTTTCTTCGCGCAGCGGCTTTGTTCGTCAAGGTTCGTGTTTCGGAGTTATAGAGTTGAGAGAGGGTTATAACCACAAATAAGTAGCCTCCTTGTCTGTAGTGGCCTTCTCGGCCTTGAGGAGGTGAATTATAAAAAAAAGAAAAAAAAACATGAACTGCAGCTCACATAGCAAGCCATGCAAATTGCTCTCTCTAAACAACTTTTTAAGAGAGCTTTAGGTTTTTAAAGGAGCTATCTGTTTATTCATTAAAAAATTGCTTATTTGATACAAAATTTGATTTTATACTAGTTACAAGCATATGCATATATACTCGTAACATTAATGTTACAAATATCTGTGTTTGAAATAAAAAGAAAACTTTTTTTTATTTTAATAATTTTATTATAACTTTATATTATTCTTAACTAATATTTATAATGCTAAAATTATGCTCTACCAAAACTTTGGTATAGCATTACTTTATAGAAAAGTTTAGAATAACTTATTTTATAAAGTTGACAAGGTGTTAGCCAATTGTATAACTAAAATATAATCTCAAGATTACAAAAAAAAATCAGTGACTGTTAGCAAAATAGTCAATCTGAGACTCAAACTTTGTCTTTTTTTATATATTGTAGCTTGCAACAGAATTTTTAATTTTTCTAATCAATATGTAAAAATAGAGAAAAGTAAGTGGTTTATAATTATGACAAAATTATACTTTTGCGAGAGCCATAAATTGGTCCTGTAAACCACTTTAGTGGAGCCTGGGTGATAGAAAAGGCAGCAAAATGCTTTTAAAAGCTATCTTTTTAAGTCTTTTTTATTTTTTAAGTTTTAATTATTTTTTTGTACATAGCTCCATTTTTCTAATAATATTATTATATATTATTTCAACTATTCTTTTTGTTGTTGTTGCTATTGTACTTTAATTAAAAAGCATTGATAAAAAATGCTTTAACGACTTCAATAATATCAAATATTTTTCACTAAGTCATTTAAGTTTTGTTTTACTGACAATAAAAGTAAAAATTTATTTACTGTTAGTATAGTTTTATCAATAATATACTATTTCTTCAACTTTACAGACAATATGTTAAAGTCTAATAGTTCATCAATACATTAATTCATCAATTGATATTTTTGTTTGTTTGGTTATTTTCATTTTTTTTTTTTTAATAAGTTAACTTCTGGGTAGTTTTTTTTTTTTAATTCAATGTATTTTATATAATGTAGTCCTACTGGCCATAAGCTATACGGTATTAAAGCCAGTTTATCAAAATTGAAGTTTTTCCTTATAGAGAAATGCTGATTTGTTATAAATGATTTAGAACTGCCACTTGTCTTTGGACACCCTATTTCTGCAATCACAGTTGAACTTATCATAGAATTAATAGAACATCTTAAACTTAGTAAGCTATTAAACTATAAATTTAATATAAATCATTTTTTTAAAGTTATTTAGATAATAAATTTTATGCATTACTTTTAGAAAGAAGTACAGATGGTTTGTTTAGAATATCAGGAAATAAAAAACGACAGGAAGAATTAAAAGCCATTTTGAATCGAGGCGGAAAAATAAAACTGCGCTCTGAAAACTGTCAATACAGTGCCCATGATATTTCTGGTATATTAAAGCAATTTTTTGGAGACCTGCATGAACCGTTGTTAACAATTCAGTTATATGACTGTTATCGTCAGTTAGCAGGTAAAAAAAAAATTTGATAAAAATCTTTAGTAAACTGTTTATTAATTCTTAACTTTGTGTTATTTTTTAAATCTTAATTCAAAATATTCAAAAAAAATTTTATTCATGTTTATTTTAAACTTTTAACAAATGCATTTGTAATTTTATCTGTCAAGACATTAAGACTATAATCTGTGCAAAGTATTAATAATACTATTTTCTACGGTCTTTTATTAGATATGGATAGTGTTTATGAAAAACATCATAAAATAAAAACCCTTCAGTATTTGTTTTTGCTACTTCCTCCATTGAACAGGCTGTTATTAAAAAAGCTTTTAGAACTTCTGTCTATTGTGGCAAAAGATGAAACAAACAGAATGACTGCATATAATCTTGGAGTAGTTTTTGCACCTAACATTGTTTGCACAAGACAGGTATTTTTTGTTTGTTTTAGTATTATACATTACATATAGTAATTTCCAGGGTTTGGGTCAAATACGTTTGATCAAATACAAATACAAAAACCTTAATTCTAGATCTCCAACTACAAATTCAAATACAAGTATACTCGATCAGCATTTTCAAAATGCAAATACAAATATTTGTAGTTCAAGTTGAGAAAAAATTAAAAAAAAAATTTTTTTACATTTTTTTCAAGACAAGACTGATAAAATGGTCTATTATATAGAAGAATGAAAAAAAAGTCTTCCGACAAATACCCCTTAATAACAAATTTTTAATTTATTTTAGTGTTCAAAATACAAAATAATGAACTTCTTGGTATTTCCTGTAAAGCACTGGTTAACCTAGTATATAGAATACAAATCAATTAAATACAAATACTACCAGGG